TATTGTGAAAATACTGTACAGAGGGGTTACAATTACATGGGCAAGATAATGAGTACATTTCTTATAAAGCATTGTAGCCTCCTCCTTTGTTTCCCCTTCCCATCCCATCCGATCCTCCCCTTCACCCCCCATCCAACCCTCCTCCCCCACCACCAAAGTTGTAAAGTTCGTTTTCAACATAACGACTTGTACATCTCATTGTTGCAATGGGTCCACCTGTATCCCTAGTTAAATGATTTGTTTTTTTCCCTTCCCCTCCACAAATTATAACAGCATCAAATACAGTGAAAGCATAGGTTATACCATGGGGGAGGGACATACAAACCAACAAAGAAATAATCTTATTAATGTATTAAAAACAATCCCATGAAAGAAAAAAACATTTGAATACATATCTTAGGGTTCATTTCCCTAACATCACCTTATCTGACCTTTTCTGCTTGACTCAGACATATACTAGATATTGCAAATAAGAGAAACCATGGGACCTATGTTTCTTTGGGACTGGCTTACTTTACTTAATATAATTTTTTCCAAGGCTTTCCATTTCCTAACAAATGGAGCAATGTCATTCTTTCTGATGGAGGCATAGAGTTCCATTGTGTATATATACCACATTTTCTTTTTTTTTTCTTTTTTTTCTTTTTGCTTATGTGGTGCTGAGGAATCGAACTCAGGGCCTCATGCATGCAAGGCAAGCACTCTACCTCTGAGCCACCTTCCCAGCCCCATATACCACATTTTCTTGATCCATTCATCTACTGAGGGCCATCTGGGTTGGTTCCATATCTTAGCTATGGTAAATAATGCTGCAATAAACATAGTCGTGCTAGTAGCTTTTGTGTGGTCTTGTTTGTGAACATTTGGATAAATGCCCAAAAGTGGGATTGCTGGGTCATAGGGGAGCTATATGTGGAGTCTTTTGAGGCACCTCCATACTACTTTCCAAAGTGGTTGAACAAGTTTACACTCCCACCAACAATGAAGTAAGGTTCCCTTCTGTCCACATCCCCTCCAGCATCTGTTGTTATTAGAGTTCTTGATTATAGCCATTCTAACTGGGGTGAAGTGGTATCTCAATGTTGTTTTGATTTGCATTTCTTTTATGGCTAGAGAGGTTGAGCATTTCTTCATGTGTCTATGGGCCATCCTTTTTTCCTCTTCGGAGAAGTTTCTCTTTAAGTCTTTAGCCCACTTATTTATTGGGCAGTTGTTTCTTTGAAGATTTGTTGTAGGGGGATTTAATTTTTTGAGTTCCAGGTATATTTCAGATATGAGACCCTTGTCTGTTGTATGGCTAGTGAAAATCTTCTCCCAATCCCTGGGCTTTCTATTGATCTTGCTAGCTATGTCCTTTGCCATGCAGAAGCTCTGCAATTTTATGCAATCCCATTTGTTCAACCTTTCTTTGATTTGTTGTGTTTCTGGGTCTCTATTAAGAAAATTTCGGCCTGTGCCAAGGAGACCTAGGGTTTCTCCTATTCCATCCTGTAATGTTTTCAGAGTATCAGCTTTGACTTTGAGGTCTTTGATCCATTTGGAGTTGATTCTGGTGCAGAGTGATAGATAAGGATCTAGCTTTAGTTTTCTACAAGTAGTTAACCAATTTTGCCAGCACCATTTACTGAAGAGGCTGCTTTCTTCCATTCTATTTTTTTTTAGCTCCCTTATCGAAGATTAGATGGCTATAGGTCTGTAGGTTCATTTCTGGGTTTTCAATTGTATTCCCTTGGTCCTGAGGTCTGTTCTTGTGCCAGTACCAAGCTGTTTTGATTACTTTGGCTTCATAGTAGATTTTGAAATTTGGTATTGATATTCCTCCAGCACTGTTCTTTCTGTTGAGGAGCATTTTTGCTATTCGGGGTCTTTTATTGTTCCATATGAATTTTTGGATTGCCTCTTCTATTTCCTTGAAGAATGAGGTTGGAATATTGATAAGTATTGCATTGAATTTGTAGATAGCCTTGGGAAGTATTGCCATTTTCATGATGTTGATCTGTCCAATCCAGGAGCATGGGAGTTTTTGCCACTTTCTAAGTTCTGTTTTTATTTCCTTTTTCAAGTTTTTAAAGTTTTCATCATAGAGGTCCTTCACTTCTTTGGTTAATTCCTAGGTATTTTATTTTTTGTAGGGCTATTATGAATGGAGTTGCTTTCCTAACTTCAGCCACACTTTTCTCATGGTTGGCATACAGAAAAACCATTAATTTTTGAGGGTTAATTTTATACCCTGCTACTTTGCCAAAGTTTTGAATCAGCTTGAGTAATTTGGGAGTGGAATCTATGATCATGTCATCTGCAAAGAAGGAGAGTTTTACTTTTTCTTTCCCTATTTGGATCCCCTTTATGTTTGTGTCTTGTCTTATTGTTGTAGCGAGGCATTCTAATACTAGATTGAAGAGAAGTGGAGAGAGTGGACATCTTTGTCTCGTTCCTGAGTTAAGAGGAAATGGCTTTAGTTTTTCACCATTAAGTATAATGCTGGCTGTAGGTTTGTCATATACAACCTTAAAATAGCAATAACTTTTTTAAATCCCTTTTTTCTCAGAATCTTCATGTAATTTTGAAACTAGAACAATAACTACCCCTTGCTGTATTCTCCCATGACCTAAAATCTAGAGGCAATGACCTTGGGGCAATATCTTATAGACCTGGTGCCCTTCACTCCTAAAAACTGCCATTTAGGGCTGGAATTTTCTTCCTGTACCACAGCCATCACTGAGAAGCATTTCCAAAATTATGCAGTAACTTCATCTACCAATTTAAAATGCCTGAAAACTATTCAACCATATTAGGATTCTGTATTGCCTACTATAATAATAATAAATATAATTGTATAGATAGGGTTTTAATACCTCTTCTGCCACTAGAATATAAAACCCTTGTTGTGAAAAACTGCTTTATTTAATACTATATTCTCAGATATTAGCACAGTAGTATACAAATGTTGGGAGGATGGGTGTGGTTCAGGGGTAGAGATTTAGTGTACCTAAAGATGTAAGTTCAATCACTGCCCTCGCCATCAAATTCAAATGTTGATTGAAGAAAAATTGAACATATGAGTTAAATGACCAGATCTTGGAAATGGTGGATTATAGATAGATGATATATATATATATATATATATATATATATATATATATATAGGCAGATATGTAAATACAGACATGCATACATTAATTGATGCATAGGTAGATGCATAGATTTATAGATACTTATGGATAGAGTTAGATATAGTTTTCCTCTTTCTAAAAATCTGTGTATCATAAATATTTACATATACAACTGGTACTTTATAGATATTATAGGTACTATGACCCCACTCGGACTTGGAAACTCATTTTATAAAATGTAAATCATTTAAGTTTTACAAGAGTTTTAGGTGGAAGTTTCTAAAGTAATCTTATAAATTCTCTTAACAGTTTTTAATGATTTCTATAGTTATTAACTATATAATACTTTAAGGCATTATTACTTCATATTAATAGTCTTATAAAATTTAATTTTATAAAATTTTATAAAATAAAGTTGCCACTTTTGTGTCTCTGTTTCTCTTTTTAATCTAAACACTTTTATTTCTTGCATCAGACACATAAACAAAAAATGTTATGGTCTATGGGTGGTCAAGGAAATATCCTAGTCACTTTCAAAGAAAGGTTTGGGTAGATTCCAAACCATCAAAGGTAATAATCAAATCAAACCATGGCCTTCTCTCCTTGGCCTCCAGCTAGCCCCACTCATCTGCTTTTCTTTTTCCTCTTTCTGTCTTGATTTTTTAAAGTTTTGAAATATCTCCATATGTTAACTTCTTTCTTTGTATTATTATCTTTAGTTGTAAAAAGAAGTTGCCATTCAATAAAGTAGTTTATGAATACTATTGTTTCTCGCTTTTCAGACTTTGCTCAATTCATTTAGAATATACATATATGAATACATGAATACATATGATATTGTTATTAACATTTTCTATGTAGCTCCTAAGAGTATACTTTGAAGATTAATGTTAACAAAATAGATCTTCATATTTTTAAATTATTGTCTGGTATAGCTTTATATAGTCATAAATTATTTTATTTTCTTTCATGAAAAAGCATGAATAGAAAATTTTAAACATTTATGTCTATTATTTCTGGGGATTTTTTTATTTCCTTTTTGTACTATACCAATACAGTTGTACAAAGGGGTTTCAATTCATTATGTGAGTTTATGATACAATTCCATTTTTAGCTCTCCCATGTCTTTCTTATGAAGGATGTGTGAGTGAGAGAGAGAGTTTATACACATACACATATTTTTAACATCTTTGAAATGTAGACAATTTGACTGTTGTAGAATATATGGAAAAAATCATCATGTCTTTGTAGAAAGGGAAACTATGGGAAAGTAGGCAATAATTTAGTATTCAATGTATTGGGAGGAAAATTTCCAAAAATTGCCAAAGAAAGTCAAAATGATTTTTTAAAGCGGAGATTTAATTTAGGGAAAAAATTTTCACAGGGATTAACAGTTGGTGAATATTCATTTTGTACCCCTCAATAATTAGTATTCACTTAGTTCATTGGTGAGTATTCAATTTCCTTTCACTTAGTTTAGGAGTTGCTAAGCTAGGTGCAAAGAAAAATTTGTACTTACCTTTGAGAATTAAGATACAGTTAAGAATTTCCTTTACACACTCATGAAAGTCTAACTTAGAAACTCACAGAGGAAATGAACAATAGAACACACCTTCGAATTAACCACTCCAATGGGTAATTATAGTAAGGAAAACCTTGAGAGGATTCCTCAGGAGAAGCTTTCTGAAGACATGAATTTTAAAACAGGTTTGGAAGGAAAGGATGAATTAGCAGGAAAAATTAGGAAGTGCATTCAGGTGTAGATGATTTTTCATAACTATTTCTTGCCTCAGTGATTTGATCTTACAGGAAAAAAATAATTATCAAAGAGACCAATAAAAGTATTTATGTAAGGTACTCTTTTTTTGTTCTGCTTCAAAATAATAGTTGAAATCTGGAGAAACAGCTGCCAACATTGCAAGAGAGCTGGCTGAACAGACAAGAAATCATTTGAATGCTGGAGACATCACCTACTCAGTTCGGGCTATGGACCAGCTGGTTGGCCTCCTTGATGTCCAACTTAGGAACTTGACTCCAGGTGGCAAGGACAGTGCAGCTCGAAGCTTGAACAAGGTAAGGACTTCAGGGGAGTTATCCTCAAAGTTTAGTGAGGTTGGCCAGCCTGTCCTACTTCATTTTGCTTCCTTGTGTAGAACCTCATGATTCTAATGAGAACCAATACTCAACAGTAGCTGGCCTAACTATTTCATTATAATAATAGCACTCTTTGACTTTTAATCTAAGGTAACTGTGTATGGAAATGTCTTATTAAGTTTGCACTTGCACTTCTACTTTCCATGGTAGCTACTCTATTTTTTATGCTGAATTGTGGCAAGTGGAGTGTGCATGAATGCAATTTAGTTTCTTTTCCCTTCAAATGTTTATAGTGAAATGATTGACAATAAACTAAGTTTCTAATCAACAAGTAGACTCTTGGAAAATGTTAGCATGAGAATATTCGTATTCATTACAGAATTTTAAAATGAGGTTTTTGTAACCTAATATTAATTAAATAAATTCAAGTATCTAAATTATTTTACTGTTAAAAACTTTTAGTAACTACATTTATTTTGTTTTTTGATTACTCAGACTTTACATTAAAATTTAAAGTGTTTAAATATATTTTATCAAATAAGTAACAATAATTTGACCTTTGAATTTTAGGAATAATATACTTTATGAATTTTGTTTCCATTTCCATATATTTATGTAAATATATATTTTTACATATGTTTTTTATGTAATTTACTCTTAACAAAATATCACATAGCCAGTGGCTCACGCCTGTAATCCTAGCTACTCAGGAGGCTGAGATCTGAGGATTGCAGTTCCAAGCCAGCCCGGGCAGGAAAAGCGGTGAGACTCTTATCTCCAATAAACTACTAGAAAACTGGTAGTGGTGCTGTGGCTCAAGTGGTAGAGCACTCTCCTTGAGCTGAAGAGTACAAGGACACCACCCAAGCCCAGAGTTCAAGCCCCATGACTCACAAAAAAAAAAAAAAAAAAAAGAAAGAAAGAAAAAAGAAAAAACCATCACATGGTAAATTAACCTTCATGGTAAAATTTTTTAAAAAATTCAGAATGACTATTACTATGCTCAATTTACAACTTTTCCTGATTGGCATTTGTATAGTAGAGATTTTCAATAAGTAACACTGAAGTTTTGAGCCTTGACTATTATCATCATCTTTCTGATTTAAAAAAAAAAATTGTCAATGAAATTCTCATGTTCCTCTTCCCTGAATTTACTGAGAGGACTTTGAGACTGAAAGATAATTTTTGCAGACTTATTTTTAGTTTTTCTGTATCTTATTGGAGTAAGAATCTCACTCAAGACAGAAAATATTTCAAAAGTAATGACTGTTCAACCTGGAAAAGCCAGATATTTTATCTGACAGATTAAGTTTTTTATGCAATTTTTACCTTCAGAAAAAAAGAGCACAATTTTACTCTTTATTAGATTTGAATTATTAAAGCATCTTTTTATGCTGCTCATAAGGGATTTTTAAAATTTTTAATTTATCTCATTTTTTCAGTGCTTCTTGATAGAATCCCAAGGAAGGCCACGATGGACTAATCTTCAGCTGCCTAGATAATCTGGGCCTGCTGTGATTTTAATGTGTTATTACATGGGCTGGATGTTATTAATGAATTTTGCTGCCAGCTATTGTTATCAAAAAGAAGTAGGAGCAGCGATTTCTATTAATCGTACACATCGCTAACATGATTTGTTATATCCATACTTTGTATCTTTATTTAAAAATGGTGTTGATGTCTATGAATATCAGGTAAAGCTGGCAATTAATGTCACTTTCTAACTGGCTACAGCTAATCAGCTTGCCTACTCTAAATATCAAATAACTACATAATGGGCAAATTTCCATTTCTGAAGCTTTTTAATGCTCTCTTTTGTTTCCCATTTGGCTCCTTTCAGTTGTCTATATAATGGTTTGTCATACATTAATTTGCATGTTGGGGTTCGGAGGTGGGAGGGCAAAGGTTATTCTAGTGCTTGCTGGCTTTCCCCTCATTTCCTGTGGTTCAGTCTTCCCCTGAGGCAGTTATAACCCATCAGATTTGCAAAGTCAACTGCGTACAAATCAATTGCATTCCACATTGAAATTCTGGAGTAGTTAGAGTCCTGAGAAACAGTGATTGGAGTCAGTGATCCAAATGACAGCACTGGCAATTTACTTGCATTCATTCTTCCCTTAATTCTTTAGAGGAGTAACTGCTGCATGCTCCTTGCAGAAAACATGAATTAGAGTTGGGGCAGTATTAGCTACACAAAGCATCAGAGTTACTGCTTCTTACAATTGGATGATTATCTATTTTAGCAATGAAGGCTATTGAATCAGGAACAAAAAAGCTGTAGGGAAGAAGAGGAAATCCCACAATCAAATTTATAAAATTTGGGTCACTTATTTAAGTAGGATGAATAAACTGTTATAGATTATTCATTTTAGCACCAGAAACAAAAATGTTTGGGACCGAATATGAGCTGCTGTCAACTTTTTGTCAAGAAAAAAGCATCATTCTGTATGCATACAAACAACAACAACAAAACAGGCTTCTTATTCCCCAAAGTTGTTAAATCTATTATTTTAGTTTGTCAAAATAGTCAAAAGGAATTCTTCAAGAAATAAAAGAAGTGACAAGTCAGGATATGAATCACATTTCTTTTTTTTTAATGAATTTATCTCTTATTTGTTGCTTTGAATCAAAAAGTCATAATAAATGGACATTTCTACTTTTCTGGTACAAAGAATTTTTGTATGTATAAATGGACCCATATAATGTGGTGCATATTAACCATCTTATTGTCTCAAAGCCTCAAATTACCTGTTGTGAAAAAAATTCCAAACTTTTGGCATAATTTGCTTACATTCTTATGTCTTTACTTGTGATCCATTAATTAATAACTAACCTGATGTGAAATGGTATTATTTCAAGTGGATGAAGTGGATTGACTTTTACTAATTTCTACTACATGATTCAAAGTTTCTTCCAATCCTTAACAGCTTTCTGCCATCTAGTTTTCCCTTGAGTTGTTCTCAAAGGTTATTGGCTACCATATTTCAAGACACTGATTGCATTTTGCTGTGGCTTAGCTTTCATTTTCTTTGAGAAAGTAGTGAATGAAAATGAAGGTGTTTTGTGTAGATGCGTTCTTTTATTTTTCTTGTTTTCTTCTGTCACTAACTTGTTTTTTCTATTCTGTGTTTAATCTGCTGTCTTAATGGATTCAGCTTCAGAAAAGAGAGCGCTCTTGCAGAGCCTATGTCCAGGTACTTTCTGCGTTTTTATAAATGTGTTAAGTGGTTGGATTGTCTGTGCTCCATTTGAACTAATGGAATTTCAGGGAGGGTTTGAAGGGTGGGAATGGAAAGAATTAAGAGAGGGTATATGCTTAAAAGAAATATGGCAATGCCAGATTATCTTAAATGTAGATTAAGCAAGTGGTGTAACTTGAGGAGGAAAAATTTTGATGATCCATAAGAGGTGAGTTGGGTCCAATATATAAATCTCTCATTTTATCACAGAATTTAGTATCTGATTATTTCATATATATACTGGGAGTCAGGCCATTCAGAAATAACACTCATTCAAAGTCAGACAGGGCAAGAAATAGTCCAGGATTCTTGATGTATAGTATCATACTTCTAGTCTAAAATGGAACTGTTTATTGGCTTAAAGCATGTGGTGATTATCTTACTCTCCTTGAAAAAGTGATTATCCCAAAGAAAAGTATCTTTTGTCAAATTGACATTTTTGTTCCCCCTAAGCAGTAAACATTCCTCGGTTTAATGTGAGGGAACAATCCCAAAAGTGAGCTCTCTGTTTCTCTGGAGAATTAGTATGTGTGTGCGTGCGTGTGCGTGTGTGTGTGTGTGTGTGTGTGTGTGTGTGTGTGTGATTTCTTTTAGTTTTGGAGGTTTGTGTGTGTGTGTGTGTGTGTGTGTGTGTGTGTGTGTGTGTTGTATTTGTGATTGTTTTCTTTGGTTTTACAAACAAAAATTAAAGGGAAAGAGGCTATTACTGTCTGACTCTAAAGTTTCTGCAGCATATACATACTATCACATATTTGATAGATGCGATGTATAGATATGTCCACAAGAACCAAGTTAGTGATTGTAAGGTTGGCAGTATAAAAACTATACATTAGTCAGGTGCTGGTGGCTCAGGCCTGTAATCCTAGCTACTCAGAAGGCTGAGATCTGAGGAGACGGGTTCAAAGCCAGCTAGGGCAGGAAAATCTGTGAGACCCTTAGCTCCAATTAACCTCTAGAAAACTAGAAAATTGTGAAGATCACAGCACAGTAAATGTTTTCATGAATAAACATACCTCTCTATTACATACAGTCATTTGCTGAGGGCTGACAAACTTTTCCTTCCATCTGCCCCAATGTAAAATGCCTTACATGAAATCCTTCATTAAAAAATACATTAATATAATATATATAATTTATGTATATAATATATATATATATATATATATTAGTGAATGATATAAGCCCAGTCTCTGCTCTGGGATTTTACTGTCTAAAGGACAATCTGGATGAATATGTTAGTGCATCAGAATCCTCAAAGAGTTAAAACCAAGAGTAGGAAGGTCCATCTTTCCTGTTACATTCTCATTCTGAAAATACTCTATAGGCCAGTTATTTTATAGATAGTCAAATTTGTCTGGCATGTGTTGATTCTGTAAGGAGTAAAGATACTTTTCCCCTCATTCACCGTGAATCTCATAGCAGAGACTGTTGTCACAAAAGACAGATTAAAAACAGAAAAGCACACATAGTTGTTTACTAGAAATTTTGTGTGAAACACTGACATTTGGACTGAAAACATGGAAAAAAACAAGGAAATGAGTATTTTGATGAAGATCAGAGCAGTCAGGAAGGAGCACATTTGGGCTGAGATGTCATAAAATGGTAATAAACTGGGGAAATTAAGCAAGGAGTATTTGCTTCTATTCCTGTTGCCATCTTTTTTGGCTTCTTTCTTTTCATATAGGTAGGCTCTTGTAAACTGAAAATACTGTGGTCTGCTTCAGAGTTTACTATATTTGTTTCAAGGGAAAAAGAGAAAAAAAAAGGTCAGAGTAACCTTTCTTCCTTTTCTATTTTCTTAAAGGGCATCATGTTACATTTTGGCACAGAGCAAGCCTGGCCCTGATCAATTCTGGCTACACTACTTTTACCCTCAGTTTTGATTAATTTTGTTTTTAAATCTGAACAATTAAGCATACACACACACACACACACACACACACACACACACACACACACAAGAGAGAAAGAAAGAGAGAGAGAGAGAAATAAAAAATTGTCTTGTGAATTTTATTCTGAACTTGAAGCCATTAGGATGAGGAAAACAAAGATGTTTTTAAAAAATAAATATTGTGAGAAAGATTCAGAAGATTTGCTTTTAATTTACATTTTACTTTATAAAACAATGAGTGTTTATATATAAGAAAGTATTGTCTAAAGATTTGAAAGAAATTACTTTTCAAGGCATGCAAACATCCTTATACAAACTATGCTCAGTGTAAGTAATAGAGAAATTATTCTCCAAGAGAGAGCTGGAGACCATTTTGGATTGTTTTCTATTGCAATCTTTGCTATCCTTTTAATGGGACCTTTGGGATAATTAGCCTTTTGGTATTTAAGTCTATGAAATGCATGGTCATTCAGACATGAATCTCTGATGGAAAATTAATAGCACAGTTTGTTCAATGGTTGATTTCCTGGTGTTATAACTGAATGCCTGTGAATAAATGTTTCAACTATTGACCAAATATCTGATAAGACTGAATAGAGACAGAACATTGGTGAAGCAAACTACTCTACTGGATAATGCCCAGCACCATTTCTCATCATTTTTATGTAGATTGCTGGCCCATGAAATTTCAGACATATATACTATAAGCCTTAATTTATTTGAGTCATAAAGACGAATTTTTCTTGTTTCCTATTGTTCCTGAACAGTTAGAACTATCCATGAAATTGGAGTAAGAAACCATGTAAGGTCTTTAGGCCTTAAGCTTGACCTAAGATGATTATTAGTCATCAGGAGTTTCTTGAAGAAAGGGCCTTTTCAAAACATAAGCAATGATTCTTTCGGGGTTGACTTTGGTTATCCATTAATTAGAGGGCTAATCTATTTTATGAATTATTTAGATCCATCATTTACATTTTCTTTCTTCCTATCTTTGGTTTATTTTGCCTACAAGTAACAGCAGACAAAGTCTGAACTGACTGTGGAATCAGTTATAACTGACCTGTAGGTACTCTTAATATGAGTTTTTAAAAAATTACATAAATCTCGTAGAAGCGATTATATGTATAACCTAAGATTTGTAACAAATAGAAAAGGAGTCCAGAATAATTTTTGTTATCTGTAATTATACTATAGGAAAATTTTTACTCTGACTACAGTAAGATAAAAATTGAAATGTCATAATAAAACATTATTACCATGCCTTGTACATAACATTTTTGTTTCAAAAGAGAGTTTTAACTTTTATGTGGAGAGCAAGATTGTGCTTACAAAAACATATTAAATAAGCTACTATGGTATAATATTACACAGAAGGATCTTAGGGATAAGGAAGAGTTGAACGATACCTAATGGTATGACAAGGTTACCTGATTAAAACTAATGGCACAGACACTCAGACACTGCTTTACTGACATATATCAACATCATGATTAAGAAAAAAAAATGGTTTTCATTAAAAATATAATTACTAAGCAGAATTGTGTGGTTATCATTGTAGGTTTTCGTTTGTTTGTTTGAGACAGGATATCCTTGTGTAGCCTAGACTGGTCTCCAACTTGAGATCCTTCTGGCTCGGATTTTTGAGTGCTAGGATTATAAGTGTGCTCCACCAGGCACAGCAATTAGTATACATTCATAAGTTAGTATAAACTTAATAGTGATAATCTATGGTATAATCATTTAAGTTTTAACTTACAGACTTGAAAATGATGTCTAGAGAGGGTGTAATGACTTTCATAAGACTGCACAATCAAAACTGAAGAGATCTTAAACTTGAAATGGGGTCATCCTGATTTGAGAAACTTAGGCTTCTAAGCCCTCAGATACTACAATAGCAGATATGGCCCATTATTTGGTAGGAAGAAAGAGAATGTATAATTTGGCTTAATATTTATTGATTTTTTACTGTATTTCAGAAATAGAACAGGGTAAAACATTTGCTTTTTTTTTCGTTCTGATGATCAAGTATAGCTGTTTGATAATTATTTTGCATTTACATCAAGGTCATATATAAATATGATTTGCTTGAAGTCTTTTTATGTTCAAAGGAAACATTGACTAAAAGTTATTATCTTAGCTAGGCATTGGTGGCTCTTACTTGTAGTTCTAGCTACTCAGGAAATTGAGATATGAGGATCACAGTTCCAAGCTAGAAATGCCAGGAAAGTCTGTGAGCACTTTGTTTTCAATTAGCCACTAAAATGTCAGATGTGGAGCTTGGATCTGATGGAGTGCTAGCCTTGAGTAAAAAAGCTCAAGGATAGCACCCAGGTCCTGAATTCAAGCCCAAGCCCAACACACACACACACACACACACACACACACAACTTTATTATTATCTTAATAGAAGAACAAGCAATTTGAAATGGAGTACCTATCCAAAGGGCGGAAGTATGAAATTGTTTTGCGAAGTGGCTTTACCTTATTTCAGATCCACCAATAATATATAAGGGCTCCATTTTCTCCACATCTTCACCAATACCTGCTATTATTACGCCTTTTTCTTTGCACCCATGATGGTATATGTGAAATATAGATTTGCACTCTCTGTTGATGGGTTGCAGGTAGGGGAAGGTTTTGAAGTTTAGTCCATGAACTAGTAAACAAGCTACTATGGTAAAATATTACACAAAGGGATCTTAGGGATAAAGAAGAGTTGAATGGTATGGCAAGGTTATCTGATTAAAACTAATGGCACAGACACTGCTTTACTGACATATATCAACATCATAATTAAGAAGAACAATTTTTTTATTAAAAATAGAATTACTAAGCAGAATTGTGTGGTTATCATTGTGAAGAGCATAGATTTTTGTTTGTTTCTCTCTTTCTTTATCTCTGTTTTTTTCTCTCTCTCTCTCTCTTTCTCTCTCCACCCTTCCCTCCATCTTTCTTTCATCTTAAAATAGAATTGTTCTAATTATTGTTAAGCTTACAATATATTCCTAGAAAACTCTCATATCAATTTGGAGGTCTAATTTGCTTGTTTCATATGAACTATATA